TACATTTTAGTTAATTTATTTATTTATTTTTAAAATACCACTGTGATGGGTACCATAATTTAAAATAACAAATGCATTTAAATTTATCTTGAATATTAAATTCTATGATTATTTTCCCCCTTAAAATGATAGTAGGTTTACAGCCAACCATGGTTTATATAGACTGTAACATTACATGTTGTAAGTTACAATTAGTTCCATATTGTGTTGTATTGTAATCAGTGTTTACAATTGTATTAGCTAATTCATATCAATGAAATTAAGTATTGATTACAATTGTAATATTATAATTGTTAATTATAATATTGATATTTAACTTATTAAATATCAAGATCATTTAGAAATTTGTAATTAGGTTTTTTGATCAAAATTGACATTGTATATATTATTTAAAATAAAAGAAAAATATTTAGGAATATAGCTTGTTAAGTATTCTGGGGTTGTTGGTATTGCAAGATCTATTTTCAAGACTCCAAATGGTTCGAAATATCTGTTAAGGTGACAAACACCAACCACCAAGTATTGGAAATTACAATAAACAGTTTATATTTGACCTCTATTAGGTGATTTTTTACTCATACTGGTAAAATATTAGTTACTTTCTTATATGAGATAAGACAGAATTTGTGTCATAAGTGTTTTGCACAAATTACTAAAAATAAAAATTTAAGATTAAGGACAATACATATTTGAAGCCATTCCTTGATTTTAGAATTATATGAAATGACTAGAACATACGGCTTATTAATACTGAAATTTCAAATTAAACAATTTTAAGAAGAATTTATACCTTAAATACTGTATATTTCCCAAATAAAGTAATTGTTGTCTAATTCAGGAGTGGTGCCAATGTCAATATGAGAGGTCCAGAAGGTGAGACAGCATTACACCTTGCTGCAGCTGGAGGGCACCACGAGGTTGTGAAATTTCTTTTAAATGAAGGTGCTGATGCTGATATACAAGATGATGTAAGATTTTTTCATAAAGTTTAAATTTTTATTAAATTTAATGAGTATAATAATAGAATTAATTTTTTTTTCCATTAAAACTAATCAAAATATTAAGCTTACAATTTACAATTTTTTCAAACAGTATTTTTTAGTGTATGACAACAATGTAATCAGAAACTTATTGCTTGCAGTCTGGCAGTACAGCTCTCATGTATGCAGCAGCAGCAGATTTTCCCTACACTTGCAATGAACTTCTAATTCGAGGGGCAGACCTTACTCTTACCAACGATTATGATCAAGATGCTTATACTTTAACAACAACCAACAACTGTAAACTGGGTAAAACATTCATATATTACTGCTTATCAGAGTTCACCGGTCAACATAGATTGTCCCCTACTCTTACCAATGATCATGATCAAGATGCTGACTTTAATCACAAAAAACAACTCTAACCGTGAGCTGAGCTCAGGTGCTAACGTCTCTCTGCAAATTTCTCAGTATGTGTCGATCTCCCCCAGCACCAATAAAATTGTTGATTGTAATTTTTAGTGCTGATTTACCACATGCTTGGCGGCGAAGGAAAACATAGTGAGGAAATCTGCATGTCTGAAGACTAAGAAGAAAATATTTCAAAAACATGTGAAGTTCACCAACACGCATTGGGCAGTGCAGCAGACACTTCCATACCCTAAAACCCTCAGAAATTAGAACCGGTCTGTGCCCTGCAGTGGGACGAATATAGGCTGTAACTTTAACTTTTAACAACTCTACCAACTTAAAAAAATACATCTTATATTTATTTTAATAAGTGGTGGTATCAGTATTCAAAAATGAAAAGTAATTGCCTGTAGGTGTTCTGTTTAAAATGAACCAGAAGTATTTGAAAATGATCAAAATTCAGTGTAAGTTCGAACTGAATGTTTGTTCACATTATTGAATATCAACATAAAATAGCAACTTAATGCTGCTGTGTTTCATATGGTGGGTGCAGAGAACCGGAGACCTTTTTACTGGAAACGAGTTTTTAGTAAAAAGGGTTGTTAAAGAGTAGTTAACATTCCATCTTAGTCCTCAGGGGTGACAATGCATCTGCATTTTGATTATTAATTGAGGATAAATGTATGGGACACAGGATCCACTTACCATCAAGTGAACTGTGTGCTCACTTGTCACCCTTATTCTATAAAGAAAGTCAATCTTACCATCAGGTGGACATTCCACCTGCTCATATGTCACCCTCATTCTATTAAAAAAAAATAGAAATAGTCCATCCATCGCCCATTTTTGCACATGATTACTATCAAGCTAATTTTCCGTGAGTAGCTTTATTTTGATGAGACGCCCAATAATTTCCTGTACGAAACTCTCGATTGCGGTAGCTAACAGAATTAGCAAGTATAAAATATGTTGATTTGATAATTCTCAAATATTTATTACTAACTTTTTTTTTGTTAAATCTCAAGATAATTATCTAAATTATTCGAAAAAATATTTGTCCTACAAAATCTATGGTCTGATCAAAGAGTCCCCTCTATCCAATATGTATCGATAACGAGGTCATCATAAGTGATTACTAACCAGCTGATTTTTTTTGTTTTTACTTAGTTAATATTTATATAATTCAACAGACATATTGTCCTACAAATTGCGTGGTATGTTATCCCGGTCCTACGCTCAAAAGTAGTATTACAGATCCTTGATGTAAAAATAATTACTATCAAGCTGAATCTTCGTGAATAGCTTCGTTTCGATGAGTCGCCCAACAATTTCCTATGCGAAAATTCTCAATTGTGGTAGCTAACAGAGGTAGCAATGATAAAATATCTCGATTTGATTATTTTCAAAAATTTAAAAGAAGTTAGAAAAATTAATAATCATCAATTTAATTTAAACAAAAAATTAACAAAAAAAAATTTGTGTCGCTTGGGTTTCTGTATTTTGCTACTACAGCTGAGTCACACCGGTACGGCGGTACGCATGCGCAGAGCATTGCTTACTCCGTATTAGGTATCCCACGTTAGTGTCGACCATAAGCCTGCAAACATTTTCTCAGTCGACCACATGTTTCAAGCAAAAAACTAACATATTTTGTCTTGAGAAAACATTTCATGAAATGTTTTTTGTGCTGGAAAATAATTATGGAGTGTTTTTTGTGTAATTTGTTTTGAGAAAACCCTACTTTTCAAGAGAAAAGAGAAAAAGAGGGAAAGGTGTCTTATGAAAGGTAAGTCGATCGAATATTTATTTACTTTATTTTTAAAATTATTGAAAAATAATTTATTAAGTTCATATTTTCACGTAATTATGTAAAATCGAGCATTAGCATTGTAACATTCTATTGTAGCATTGTATTATTGTTAAATTCTTTAAACAATAATTTTTGATAGTATAAAATTTTGTCATTTAAATTTATATTTTTGTATGACTATTTGACTAAATATTAATTTAATATGGAATAATTTTTTCAATATTGATGATGCTATGTGATATTTATGTAGATACTGTATTTATTTGCATGTTTCTCAAATAAACAATTTTTTATTTTTTTTAAATAATTTCTCATACACAGCACTGAGCCAGCTTCAACATCATCAGCGTCTCAATCTACTGGAATCATTGATTCCTCGATATCTAACGTCTGCTGAAAATGTTGAACCGGACCCATTGCCATGCACTTCACGGTTAGTTAATTAAATATTTTTTTTTACTTGTTAGTTATATAATTTATTTGTATTATATAATTTACTTAATTTTTTCATGTTATTACAAAGTCAGATATTACGAGTGAGGAAAGTGAAATAGAAGATGACAGCGATGTTAGTAGCGAAGATTTATCAGATGAATCTGATGAAGATTAACTTCTTTTTATATATATATATATATATATATATATATATATATATATATATATATATATATATATATATATATATATGTATATATATATATATATAAATACATAAATTTTTGTACCAAGTTTATTAAAAAATAAAGTTATTTAAATTTTAAAAAAGCTTTTTTCATTTTACAGATAGAAAAACGAAAAAATGACAATTCTTTTCGGACTAATAATACATACCTGTTTTCTTGTAGGACGATGTTTCATTTGGGCAGAGAACACGCTAACCTATCATGTAATATTTTTGTCCTACAGTTAGTAATGAAAAAAATGGTCTTGTGGTATTAACAACTTCCGAGCGTAGGACCCGGATAACGTACCACGCAATTTGTAGGACAATATGTCTGTTAAATTATATAAATATTAACTAAGTAAAAACAAAAAAATCAGCTGGTTAGTAATCATTTATGATGACCTCGTTATCAATACATATTGGATAGAGGGGACTCTTTGATCAAACCATGGATTTTGTAGGACAAATATTTTTTCGAATAATTTAGATAATTATCTTGAGATTTAACAAAAAAAAAATTCAGTTAGTAATAAATATTTGAGAATCATCAAATCAACATATTTTATCTTTGCTACTTCTGTTAGCTACCACAATCGAGAGTTTCGTACAGGAAATTATTGGGCGTCTCATCAAAATAAAGCTACTGACGGAAAATTAGCTTGATAGTAATCACGTGCAAAAATGGGCGATGGATCCTGGACTAGAATGAAAACGAATCTTAGTTTCTGTTTTACTAGAGCTAGTAAGGTAATATGTTTTTTTTTCTTTTTCAGCACAAACTGTGATAGAGAACTTTTTGATTGGATGCCTCAGCAAAATGTGAAAGCATTCATGTTAATTTGCTTAGGACAATCAACACAGCAGATTTATTTGCTTACAGAGTTAAATGAAAATACAGGGATTTAGTTTATAAATTGTATTTAATAAATATTTTTAAGTTCACCATATACAAACATGTAAAGTGACATAAGTAATTCAATTACAGACAATATAAAAACCCTGTTTCTTTATTTTATCTACCCCTTGTTTCAATAAAATATAAAACTATATAATGATAAAAATATCTATACACCTCAACTATAATAAAAGTATAAAAATGCATTGAATCTCTTAAATCTATTAACATAATATTTTATCACAGTTTAGACTCAGTGAGCCAGTTGAAAGTTTGTGGTTTTCTGTTGGACTGAGGATTTATAAGAATGTTAATAATGCTTGGTTTATCAACAACTTTTACAGCTTTCTTTATTGCTGCTTCAATCTCTTCTACCGTGCGGCAAAGATGGCCTGTCTCACCAAACATTTCCATCATTTTCTCATAACGAACTTCAGTGCTCAGTGCCGTAGGTGGTGTACTGAAAAGAGAAACTTATCTTGGGTAAAAAAAATATGATACTGCTTTTAATATTCAAAAAATTCAAAAGCATTAATATTTTGCAGCTTTTCGGTCTGCTTAAACTACCTTTTTAAACCTTTGTATATTAATTAACAATCAAAATCAAATAAATGACTTATTACAAAAATAGGAATTTATATTTGGACCTTGTCATTGTGCAGAAATGTTTTAAACCCACAAAAACAGTTATTCAAATTTGAAAGATAAATTTATCTTGTGGCAGAAGGCCTATTATATCATGTGTATATCATCCTAAAGAAATTTGAATGTAGATTTTGAATTGCTAACTAAAAAAAAGAGCAGCTGGATCATTGTTTTGGCCACTAAGTGGGTTAGATTTCTGCACAACACAGTCCAATTAGGCTCAGGTTTAAATTATAGTCTGTTTCAATAAAGGAGTCCCATGGTGAACTAAAATGTAAAGTATGGAATTTGACAACAAATGTCAATTTCGTAAACAAACTGCGTTTTGTAAAGTGACCGTAACTGTCTTACCTTTGAGCAACATCACCATAAGATTGAATTTCTTGCATGGTGTCCTTGTCAAATCCGCTATAAATGCCATTGTTGTTGACAATTATAATTATCACAGGCAATTTGTAACGAAACATTGTTTCAATTTCCATTCCTGGAAAAACAAAAGAATATCAATAGATATAAGAAACATTTTATTTATTGCACATGTCAGGATTATTGAATTTAAAACAAACGAGTTTAATTTATTTCTAATGTGAAATAAGTAAAACGCGATAAAATTCAAGCTTTTTATTTTTTATTCAATATACAACATGTAATTCTTATTAAAAATAATTTTTGAGTTTTACCGTTGGTTGGCAAAATAACCTTTGTCTGAGGAAGAACCAGCATGAAACCCAGCGGGACTTTTTTTCAAAGTAAATTATACAATAAGAAAGGTTGTACAACAAAAGAAGACTGGGAATTAGCACAAAGAGTGGTGACGATGGACAAAATCCATTGGGCCATTCATAGTTTTTAATCCTATAAGGCAGCAGGACCTGACGGCTTATTCCCGGCACTTCGAATGTTAAGTCCTAATAGTCAGACTTGTTACCATAATGAGAGCATGTCTGGCTCTTAAATATGTTCCTAGGGGATGGAGGGAAGTGAAAGTCACGTTCATACCCAAACCAGGTAAGAACGACTATACAGACCCTAAATCCTACAGACCCATTAGCCTCACATCCTTTCTCCTAAAGACGATGGAGAGGATGTATGAATGGGAGTTGAGAGGGTCGGCGCTAATTAACTTACCGCTACATGTTAAACAACACGCCTATAGCTTAGGTAAATCAACAGAATCGGCACTTCACCAGGTAATAACAAAGATTGAAGAGGCCATCCAAAACAAAGCAATATGTCTAGGCTCCTTCATAGACATAGAAGGTGCTTTTGACAGAACAAATTTCTCCAGCATAAAAGGTGCCCTAAGTAGACATAATGTTGAACCGGCACTGATTGACGGATAGTAAACATGCTCAGTACACGAACAATAAAGATTGCTTCTCTTAAGCCATTTCTACACAGTCGGTTATGCAGATGATCTGACAATACTGGTCTCTGGTAAGACAGCAAGCATTTTGTGTGACCTGACGAAAGCGGCTCTCCGTATTGTGGAGAGATGGTGCAGGGAATATGACCAAACCGTTAATCCAAATAAAACGGTTATAGTAATGTTCACACAAAAAAGAATGCTGAATAACTATCATCTTCCAAGTCTTTTCAGCACAAAACTCCAGCTTTCCTCTGAGGTAAAATACCTAGGTCTTACCTTGGATAGTAAACTTAACTGGAACAAACACATAGAAAACAAAATCAGCAAAGCTACTTTAACTTTCTGGCAATGCAGAAACATGATTGGCAAACAATGGGATTTAACGCCAAAAATTATACTGTGGCTGTACAAAACTGTAATTCGGCCCAAGCCCATGATCACATACGGGCCGTATGTGATCATGGGCCGCAGTGGTCGGAAACCGGACGGAGCCGTATGATACGGCTCTCTGGTATGGTGGACCAAAACCAATGAAGCTACCACTATACAAAAGCTTCAGCGTTACCAGAGATTAGCTTGTATGGCTGTCATGGGCTGCATAAGGACTACACCAACAGCAGCTTTGGAGGCTATGCTGGAACTAACACCGCTTCATCTACATATACAACAAGAAGCAAATTTAGCTGCCATTAGACTCAAGACCCTAAATCTTTTAAGTCAGAGTCCCCCATACAGACATAATCGATAGAATTTACTCAAAAATTCCCATCTTACAAGCCAAGTATGATAGGATCCCAAAACAATTTGTATTCGATAAGAAGTACAGGATACAATTGAAGGAAACTGACCATCTGGAAGGATTGGGTCCAAGAGAGCTCAAAGTTTTCAAAGATGGCTCTAAGACAAATGAAGATGTGGGGTCTGGGGCTTTCTCTGAAGACCCTTAATCCACATATGCACACCGCTGGGTACCCACAACACAGTCTTCCAGGCTGAATGCATGGGTATCATCCAAGCGGCCATAGCAATAGATGCTAGGAAGGTGAAAGAATTCTCCATCAGAATACTGACCGACAGTATGGCGGTACTATACAAGCTCTGAGTTGCAATGTGACGAACTCGGGACTGATATACGAGTTCCATCAACGATTGAATGAGGTATGTAAGCACAACAATGTGACTCTGCAATGGATCAAAGGACACAGTGGATTTAGAGGCAACGATGCAGCAGATGAACTGGCCAGAAGAGGATCGGCCCTGGCAACTATAGGGCTGGAACCAATAATACCAATCCCCTTTGGCTATGTTCATTCACTGGTACGTAGATACTTCAATAATTTACACGCTCAGCTTTGGAAAAATTTAGTAGACTGTAGACAAGCTAGGGAGGCCCTACCTGAAATAAACAGTCGTCTAACCAAGGTTCTAATGAGACTGAACAAGCCACAGATCAGGATAGTAACAAGTACTATCACAGGACATGGCTCTTTTAACAAACATTTGTTCACCATAGGTGTTACTGCCTGTGCAGCCCCCTGTGCAGGGCATGCATGGGAGAGGAAGAAACGGCGGCTCACGTGTTGCTGACTTATCCAGAAGTCGCTTCATACAGGGCTAAACATCTCGGCACGTTGGGATCGCTCCCCGAAGTTGCTTGCAACATCATATTATACCTACATATTAACCATATTATTCGTGCCCACACGCAAAATACGCGCTTAGATGTGGAGTTGCGGAAAACAGCCCGTCTTAAACTAAACTAAACTAAGTTTGTACAAACTATTTAAAATTTTTATTTTAGAAACAGCTCAAAAGCGATCACCTCATTCCCAGGAGTGATTAATTATTAACAACCATGTATTCATTTATATTATATCATACTTCGGCACGCCGAAGGATCCTGTGGCATTCCGCAGCATACTGAAGGATCCTGTGACACATGACTGAAATTTTTTTATACAGTTTTTGTTTAATAAAATATTTTAACTTGGTGATAGAGAGACCTTGTAAATTTTCTCGGACTTTGTTGTAGTAGCGTATGTATACCCATTACATTACCCCAAGAATGAATTACTGATCCTGTGGAGTCGAGAAACTGGTATTTTTATACATTTCTTTATATCTTTTTAACTTTATAATTTAATTAATGAGTCAAAAGTATCCGAATTTGGGATTTCGAATTTTCTTATACGTGGTAGAGCCATGCTGCAATTATATTAGTAGTATAGTTGTAGCACGAATGGGTCGGCTCGACCGGGGAAGGACCACGCTCTCACAGAATATCAGCGTGAAATAGTAGCTTAATGCTGCTGTATTTCGTATGGTGAGTGTAGAGAACCGGAGACCCTTTTTACTAGAAATGAGGCATTCCATCTCAGTCATCACGGGTGACAACGCATCTGCATTTTGATTTGTAATGGAAGATAGATGTAGATGTCTATGGGCCGCAGCAACCACTTACCATCAGGTGGACTGTGTGCTCGTTTGTCACCCTATCCTATAAAAAAAAAAAAAAAAAATTCTCAAATAATAAAATATTAACTTTATCGTAAAAATTATTAGAACTTTTTTATTCGTATTTCACCAAGAAATATTAAAAAAAAAGATCTTTTATACTTTATCGTTTTAAAAATACATATAGTATTTTTAATGGGTCAATCAAAAGTATACGAATTTGTGATTTTTCAAACCTTCAAAAATTCATAACTCCGAAAATTTTAAGTTTCTCGTAAGTCATAGGACTTTTTTTAATCGTATTTTATCATAACATATAAAAGAAAACTTGTCCCGTGTAAAAATAACAATTACTTGCAATTGAAAAAACAAAAATCGTTCTAAGCAACATGGCACAGGGTCGCCCTATGGCAGACGCAAAGACACTAAAAAGAGACACACATATACATTTACAGGATTTAGCCAGCGAGAGAATGAGATAATAATAATATATTTATTTGCTTAAAACATGATATGAAAAAGATTTTACAAATATTATACAATTGAACAGCATGTTTTGATACAATTATACAAATTAATAATGTCCAGAATACAGTATACACTGTTACCTATTATATTGGTCTCCTTTTCTGAAGGTTTCCCTTTTACCGCGTGTGAACTTGCACACACGTTTTTTTCTAAATTGTAGATTATTCTGACTAAACAAACTAAATGGTGGTGGTGTACAAAAACCCATCACCCATTTCGTCCCTTAAGAAAAATCCTCGTTGCTTCTGATAGATGGCTATATACCATCTTGTATATGCTTATGCATATATGTATATGCTAGATTTAAGCGACAGTAGCCTAATGGCAGGGCGCGGACCGCGAACAAAAAGGTCGTGGGTTCGAATCCGCCATTCAACTACTGGCGTGAACCACTCGTAACACAAGCAATTTAAGCTTACCACGAGTGGTTAAGGGGAATATTAGTAATGTTTATAGCATTGTTAATATTCTTTTAAAAAAATAAAAAGAAAAAAGAAAAGAAGACGTACAATACTCAGACTGGCAACAGCGCAGGTACAACCCATTGGTTTTAATATCGCCTAGTCCGTTCGCAAGTGTAATAGTCATGACAAATCCTTCCTACAATAGGCTAATGTCCACTGAATGTTACAGACTGATAACACCGTTACCGTTGCAGCGTGCAAAGTCCAGTGCAGAACACAGACTTCCTCCATGGATTGCCTCATACCGAGGATATCTACTATAGTTGCCACGCTAAGCAACAAGATTTTTTATTTTTAGTCATTATTATGAAGACGCCTCTGTCGTCTCTTGCGACGCCCACGGGATGCTATGGGGCAGTGGTGATTCTTACACCGCCACTAAACGACAATTCTAAACAGACTGATCATAAAGAATAGAAACTCACAGAGTAAGACGGAATAAGAACTAATTTTTAACATTTAATATAGTTGTATAAAAATACTTCAACAAATCTGAAACCATCTACAAATGTGCAATGATAATTGTTATAATATATTATACTCTCTTTATATTTCATAAAGAGAGACACATTGGGTGCGTTTGGCAGAAAAAAGCGCTTGTAAGCAAAATGGCGAAACTAAACAGTTTTCGGCCAGGACACATTTGCTAACTTCAGTAGCGCTGACACAATCCGCCATTTTGCTTATTTAATTTGTTTGTTTTGAAGTAGAGTTTATAAGTTGTTTTGTGCAATATTAGTTTTAAGTAATATAATGACATGAATAGACATATACTATACATGTTATTAAAAATTCATGATTGGTAAGTTTTTAATATGAATACTTTACAAACATATATTTAAATTAGGTTACGTTCCCCGGTTAAAACTAACTTCGTGTCCTAGAGTAAAATAGCTACTTACGATTTGACAGCGCTTACCGCTTACGATCGCCATTTTGCTTACAAGCGCTTGCTAGCGCTTTTTTCTGCCAAACGCACCCATTAAGTTTTGTGGTGTAAATATTACTCATGTGTGTCAAAACTTACAAACCTGAAAATCCAAAAGCAGAATCTCCTTCCACACAAACAACTCGCTTGTTTGGAGCGTAGTCGCGACACCACATTGCAGCGGCTATCGCAAATCCAGGACCCACCTACATAATAACAGTTGTTTTTAAATTATTAGTAAAATTAGAGTAATAGCGACGTTTTCTAATTAAGTCGAACAAGTGCACTGTTGGCATTGCTCTCAAGAAGGCGTAACCTTGTGAAAAAAATGACAGCAACACCCATGCCCGCCATTAACGAAAATACGTTTTTAGGATTGTATATTTAAAATTATGGTTCTGTATATTGCGTGTGAACCTGTGTGTCCATAAATATATCTCATACATTTCATCAATTAGATTCAGTAAGTGCTTCTGCGTTTCTATATTTAAGGAGACTAGCTGTTCCCCGCGACTTCGCCTTTCGCTTTCGACTTACGGTTTTAATTTTGTTTTTGTGCGGAAACCAGCATTTAGTAAAAAGCTGTTATTTTGACATCACAAACAGACAGTTCAATTATATTTATTTGTATGGTTAAAACATTTATGTACTGCTGCTGTGTAGTGCGGCGTAGGAGAATCCACTACATCATATCATCCTGTCGGTGCCTTAAGAGGCGATAGAGAGAAACAGACGGCAGCAGCATTTTTCTGATAACAAAGCAATAATAATTAAAAGAACGGCGGTTGCCAATGCGCCCACCCAGTTTGGCATGGCAACTATACCAATTTATATATGTTTCAATCCATAGAATACTAAAATACACAATAGAATGGCTGTCAACCTTATTTTGTACGAGGGTCGGCGTAGCTGGGAGCACACATATATAAGCAATTACGTCGTATTATCAATAATACAAACCCGATTCGCTGTGTTGACAGACTGAGTAAATTTAAAAATTTTAGACTTCTGTTTAATGTTCAAGATATTCATTAAAATAAATCGTTTAATTTTTAATACATGTTTATTTGTAAATAATGTGCAATTTGACATATTCTAAATAATTTGCATGCGATATTTGGAAACGATTGTAACGTCAAAACACATCTCGTGTTGACAGTTATACGTATGAATTGACATGTTAGTGACATTTTAGTGGCTACACGGGCTCCTCCCACTCCCCCGTTCTATTATGTATGTATTATAGTATTCTATGATTCAATCAGGTTTGTAATAACGTTTAGTCTTAAAGCATTATTAAGTTTCACCTGATTGTTTTCATTTATATGATATTTTTAAAAACAGCTCTTATTATCTTATTAATTATACTATAGAAGTGTTTTAAGACCAGGTTGGCCCAAATTATTGTATTTTAGACACGGTTTTGACGCTCGATAGTTGATAATTCTCGATATAAATACTTTATACTTGGAATAAATATGCGCGTACATGAAATACTCAATTCAATTCTTAATAGATTGGATTTTTAAAATGATAAAAAAGTTAAGATTTAATCGCCGGGAAAAACTTTGACTTTTGATTTCTCGTTTTTTAAGTGATAATCATATAATTATTTTTAAGATAATATGAAAGTCATGATAGTGAATTAGATTCTTAATAGGATACATTTTATTATCCTGATAATAAGCTAAAACGTTAAATGTAAAGTAATATTTTTGCCCATCGAATGTATATATATATATATTTATCACAGCTTACATCGTGCCGGACAAATATCAATGCAGCAAATATAGTTTTAACGTTAAGACGTTTATAACTACAGTATCTGGGCTACCACACTTCGGTAAATGTTAGAAGATTTATTTTCTTTTCTAAAACCTTTTTTGATAAAATTTGTGAGTAAAACGTAAATGATTAGTAGTATGAAGCAATAAGGAGTTTGAATTAAGCATTATTAGCAGACTGGTGGTAATAGTTTACCGTAAAATGAGACCCTCTATTAGACATGTAGCTGTTGTCAGTAAGCCTAAATATTAATAACTCATACTTACACCCATAGTACCAAAAGTGCCCGCATCAAGACGATGTCTAGGTTCATTATTAAGCAGTATGCCGCGACCAATGTCCATAGTGTTGGCTCCCTCGCTTACAATTATAGAGTCCTTTGGAATGTTCGCTTGTACCGTTTTAAAAACTGCGTAGTAATTGAGAGGTACAGTCTTATCATTTGCCTGGGCCTAAAAAAAATTCAATATATATAGTAAGCTAACTCGTAGTATCATGTAGTCAAAAAGAATGCAGGGCAAGTATTGGGTTCCCTTTCTTTCCTGGCGAGCCCTTACGGAATCAATGTTGGTGTAATCTAATGTAATAAATGCGTATTTTCGTCTACCTGCGATGGGTTATTTCATTTGTCCACCCTAGGGTGGATACTCGGAAACACGTGTTCGTTTATCCACCCTAGACGGAGTGGATAATCGGAATTCACTTTTTGATTGTTGTTCCGCCTTTCCACCCGAAGTACAGTTACAGAAAATATATTCATACTTTAATATATTATTGGTGAATTTTTAATAACTACAATCATAAACAAAAAATCATATTACGTATTGAATTGAAACCAAATTAAACTTCCCTGTTTTAAATAATAATAAGTAATTTATAAATTCTGCAATATGTTCAGGAAAAGACCAACACTAATTTCATTACTAAGTAGACATAATTGTATATGCTGTATAAATTCGTCTCTCAATAAGACAATTTAAAATTTATTAGTGTTCTCGTTGGATAAACGAACTCGCAATTCCAAGTATCCGATCATATTTTATACTAGGCTGCGCCTGGATAGGATCTATTAATACGACGTTGTATATATTTAAAATATGTAATCAAAGGCTATTTATTAAAAATAGCCTCGATCACTCCTGGCGTTGCTCCACCCGGGATTATACGATCAGGAGTCGCGTTCATAGATATATAGATTAACGAGGTTGAAGCCACCTAGTGAATGTGTGTTATAATTTCCCTTAGCCGATCAATACTGACATGTATGAAACGAAACAGGGTGACAGATTTTCTCATGTTGTACAAAGTATAAAATAACTAAACAGGTCTTTAAAATATGATACCTAGACTAACTACAACTATAGGGTGTAAGGTACGAGACGTCCAACGACTTGTACATCCCACCATGGAGATGCCTATGGGCCCAGAAGCCCTGTCTAACAGTGACCATTTACGGAACAATGAACATAAAAAATAATATCAAAACTAAAACATCCAGAGAAGTGACAAAGAACCAAAGCTTGGCGATTATAGAAAATCTAACCAGATCTAAAAATTTTGGCCAGCTTCCAGGATTTTGGCACTATTTCAGTCCTAAATGAGAGGCGGAACAAGCGTGTCAACACAGGAGACAACTCAGGTGCACAAGCTTTTAGTACTATAGCTGGTATACCATCTGGTTCAGTAGCTTTACTCACGTCTAGACACCGTAAGGTTTTGAGAACCTCCTTATTTGTGATACGAACTTCTGACGTAGTGGTCCCGCAGTGAGGTAATTTAGGTGGAATGTTGTTGACACTGTCCAGACGTGAATTATAGGCAAATAGACATGCGAACAAGTCCGCTTTCTCTTTAGCCGTATGCGCCAGTGTGCCATCCGGTTTTACCAGCGGAGGCAGTGAAGGCCGACAGAAGTTTGTCTCGACCGCTTTGGCAAGAGACCAAAAAGCTCTTGCGTCGGATGGTCTGGCAGAGTTTTGCGTCAATATGTTTAATGCGATCGAGACTAGCTTTCCGTAATGCTTTTTTGTAGGACTTGGCGGCCTGGTTGAAAGTTCTCTTCTTGAAGCTGATATCCGGAGCTTTGCGGTTTCGAGCGGTAACCCAGGACAGGTACGCTAAATGCTTGCGTTTATCAGCTTGAGCGCATTCAGCGTTGAACCATGGGCGGGCTTTGCTACCGGTGGGAGCGTCAGAAAAGGGGATAAAATACTCCATAGCTTGACGCAACACATCGGTTATCGAATCCGCGCAGCTCGACGGATCCGCAGAAGAGAAACAGACATCTCGCCAAGGATAGGATGCAAAAAAGTGTCGCATCTCATCCCAATCTTAACCGCCTTGTACCGCAAAAACAAAAACCTTGGGACTCGTAATCAGGTGGAGAATATGACGATACAGATTTTACCATACAGTGGTTGGATGTACCTAAAGGGGAGGTTACCTGTACTTCATACCTGTCTGGTTCGGTAGTCAGCAGAAGGTCCAAGCAATTGGCTGTGTGACCGTCTACATCGGGCACCTTAGTCGCTTCCTTTACCAGCTGAGAAAGACCTAGCGTTAAGACAAAATTCCACGCTTCTCTTCCAGCATGGTCGGTCTTCTGGTAAGGGAACAGCCAGTCTTGATGACAGGCGTTAACGACTCCCAGAAAGACCAGCTGTGCAGTAGGATACCGACTAAGGGCCACATCAGCAGCCTCACTAAGGTGATCAAATAATCGTGTTGTCTCCTGGTCACCGCTGTGCGATCGATAGACACAGGCATATAGGATTTTTTCAATACCTGTTTCTACCATTACCCTGACTGTCGAAAAAGTGGGGTCTTCAAGGTAGCGGAGACGCTGTAAGCAGATGTCATTGCGGACGTACACGCAGACACCGGCACGTAGATGGAATTTGTGCTCCAAGAAAAATCCAGGATAGTCAAGGTACGCCGCATTAAATGGACATCCAATTTCGGTCTCCTTCAAGAAAAGTAGGTGCGGCTTTTCAGTCTCAAATGGTGATGGATTGCGCTGAGATTAGAGCAAAAGTAAAAAAAAGTAAAGTTACAGCCTATATACGTCCCACTGCTGGGCACAGGCCTCCCCTCATTTCTGAGAGGGTTTTAGGTCAAGGAAGTGTCCGCCGCGCTGCCCTAATGCGTGTTGGCGAACTTCATCATTCACCAACATGTCTTCGAAATAATTTTTTTTTCTTATTCCTCAGACATGCAGGTTTCCTCACGATGTTTTCCTTTACCGCCGAGCACGTGGTAAATCAGCACTTAAAATTGCAATTAACAATTTCATTGGTGCCGGCGGGGATCGCACCCGGGTTACTCGCGTTCTGTTATATTTACAGCGAGCGTTAACCATCTGAGCTACCACGGCTCAGATTAGAGTTTAGAATGCGATCCTCGAATATTAGTGAGGTGCACTTTTAATGAGAGGACGTGCAACCGCTGTTTAGCCATACTTTTCTTTTTGTTTTGACACATATTAAAGTGAAAAGTGAATATGAATGAAGAATGGCAGTTGAATGAGGCTTTGCATGGCAACCAAACGATACTACCAGTGCTACTGCGCCCATAGGAACTTGATCTGGAGACTGCGGGGACGCCCGAACCCCTCCAGAGATCGCTATTGGGTCCTCTCGCCCGGTCGCATACCGGCACGGTGAAGCCACTCTTGGATTTTTCGCTAGTTGGCGGGGCAGCCTTTCATGAGTAGCTAATTCACTAATTGGGCCAACTACCTGCGGTCGGCCAGCGGAACACCGTGCTTCGGATCCCGCTACCCTCCACAACCAAGCACCTGACACAGCAACAACTGAAGCTTCGCAACCGGTTCACACACACAAAACTACTGTTCAGACCCATTCTTCATATGGCTTCACAAAGCATCATGCCGGAACAGGACAACGTCATTTGGCGACAAGACTTTGTATTGGTGGGTGGTAACCAAAAAGCCAGCGGCCGAAACCTACCACCGAAATTGGTGCTGCTCGTTTAGTACTACCCAGGGGACACGCGTAGGGAGTTAGATTTCAAGTATTTCCTACGGACACGAGCAGCTTCGTCCCCCAATAAAGCTTTGTCGTTCATTCTTTCTACATGACCCAACCACCGAAGTATCCCTTTTTTAATCCTGGTCACAAAACCATCTTGCAAACTACAATTTTTCACCTTGTCTTTTACCTTCTTTCGGAATTTCAAGTTCATTTAATACAAACGTCTACTCATTCATAAATATGTGATTTTAAATGTTTCTATTTAAATAGTGTGTGTCAAGGTAAATAATGTCAATAGTGTAGTGAATGCAAATATGCGATAATTTTATATTTTGCATATTAGATACCCTATGTGCGACATGTGTTTTGCATATTAATGTGTTGAAAGTGAAATACAGCTCGCTTGATATACAAACGTCGGATTTCGACTACTGCACTATAAATAGTATTTTTAATTTATCTAGCACGTTGGTTTTCTCGTGATATTTTCTTTCACCACCTTTCAATGCACATTTTTTTGTTTTTTTACATGTTCCTGCTTTAGATGAAATTAAAATCTAACGCCTAGCCCCTATACAGCTAAGTCTCATTAGTAATCAATTATCTTTAATTATTAAAAATAAATTACCTCGACAAACTCAGCATTTTTCTTCTGTTTTTCTTGTAATGCTTGCCACCAGCTGTTCTTTCCTGGTTGTAGGGTAATTTTTTTCTCTGCCAGCTTCCGCGTCAGCGCTTCGACGAAAGGTTTAATATCGGAATGTATGGCCACTTCCGACTTGATTGAGTTGTGTAACTCTTCGGGACATATGTCCACCTGAGGAAGTAATATTAAGACATAAATGCTATTATTATGCATTTAATGCTACACGTTGAATAAAACAAATTTCAAGGATAATTGATAGAATCAGCCGTTACTTTGCGGAAATCCATTATAATAAAGATATTAATAGTTATTTTGCAACTATCCGCTCAATTAAATGTTGTGTCTTACCTAGTTTGAAGTACTTCAAACTAGGTAAGACACATCATTTCTTATTTAATTTCGCGGATGGTTGCAAAATAACTATTAATATCTTTATTAAAATTCTAAGAAATTTTAATTGAATTTTAATTGGAATTGGAATAAAGATATTAATTAATTAATCCTTGGATTTTATCGCGTTTAATTTGACTTGTTTTGTTTATACGAGGGGTGACCCAAAAGTAATGATAATGAAAATAAAACACGGTAATTAAAGTTAAAATAATAATTTATTTTTCTACATAGTCTCCTAACAAATCAATACATTTAGTCAATCTTTTTTCTAAACCCAGGATTCCCTTTGAAAAAAAATTCTTTGTCTTGACCCTCCCAAAACGCTTCAACAGCGGCCATTACTTCGCTATCGTCTTCGAATTTCTTGCCTCGGTGGCGTTCCTTGAGCCGAGGAAAGAGGTAGAAGTCACTAGGAGCTAGATCTGGCGAATAGGGAGGGTGTTCGAGCAGTTTGAATCCCGTTTCTTAAATGGCAGCCATCGTTGTCTTGGTGAAACAGCAATCCAGCTCGCAGTTTGCCGCGTCTTTTTTTCCTTAATGGCCTCCCGTAATCTTCTTATTTGGTCTGCGTAGTAAGAGCCCGTAATAGTGGCTCCCTCTTCCAAATATTCCACCATAATAATGCCTTGAGTGTCCCAAAAAACAGATGCCATAACCTTTCCCGCCGAACTTGAAACTTTGAATTTCTTTGGCGTCGGTGAGGAGGCTCGCTTCCAAGTCATCGATTGTTGTTTCGTTTCAGGATCAATCCAGGTCTCATCCATAGAAAAAATTTTCTTGATCTGCTTGGAACTTTTCGAGATTGACCCTCGAAATGTCAACTCGATTTTTCTTTTGCTCGTCGGTTAACATTCTGGGTACCCAACGCGCAGAGACCTTTTTCATATGTAACTCGTTCGCAAGGATTCTTTGAACGCTGCCATATGAGATCCCTGTGACCTCAGCTACATGCCTGATGGTCACTCTTCGATCTGCCAACACATCTTCGACTTTTTTCACGTTGTCTTCAGTGAGGGACGTGGATGGGCGTCCTTCGAAATGTTCATCTTCAGTGGATGTTCTGCCCAGTTTAAACTCCTTGGCCCAGCGTGCAACTGTAGAATATGGAGGAGCAGAGTCCCCCAATGTTTCCACTAAGTCACTGTGTATGTCTTTTGAAGACATTTTTTTCAAACAGAGGTACTTGATGACAGCTCTAATTTCGTTTTTCTCCCTGTTGATGTTATCTCTTTGACAGTTCGTATTCAAATGAATGTATCTCCCGGAAATCGTGATCTATTTATATGATTTTTTAGGCTGACGTAGTGAGTATATAAGCAAGCAAAAAATATTTTTTTTGATTTTTATGCGGACCTGAAGTAACCGATTATCATTACTTTTGGATCACCCCTCGTATTAATTCTCGACGTTTGGAATTTGGATGCTTTATAGCTATGGGCATGGGGGGGGGGCGAGTATGGGTGGGGGGTAAACACTTTATGATGTTAAAGTTAAACCGAGTTTCGGCACGTCGGGAATTAAAATGAGTCAAATCAAAAGCGATGAAATCCGTAAATTTAGTTTTATTTAATTGAAAACGGTCATTCATATGTTAATATTATATAAACAACCCAATTAGCTCAACAGACATACAAACAAGACAGACATTTCAATTTTGTTTATATGTTTACATTTATATTCATTGCAGTAACAATCCATCCAGATGACAAAATACAAGATATTCATTTAAACAGACTTAGTGGAAACAGAAACTTTTTTATTCAATATAGATTATAAACAATACTTATTGAAAGTCAATTTTTTTCATTTACCACTGGTTCGCAAAAAAAACCTCTGTCCTGAGAACCAGCAAGAAACCCAGCGGGACAATTTTTTTTCAAATAATAGCTTACAATTAACAACACAAAACAAATTAGAAATAGCTTGGTAGTAGGGAATGCAATCTCGTTCTCGCGAGATCTCGTTTTCGCGAGATCTCGGCCTTTTTTAGCGAGATTGATCTCGGACGAAAAAAAGGCGAGATCTCGCGAGTTTAACGAGATTTCACTCGAGCATAAAAACGTCTTATTCGAAGCGCGGACTGACACGGACGGAGTTGCGATCTGTCGGTTTCGTTCGGTGCGTTTCGGTCGCGGGACGAGGTGTCTCTCAGACTCGTTCGTGCGTGCGATTGGTCGAAAATTGAGCCGGCGTACAGTGTCATCAGCGCGCATTTATTTTGTTTACTAATGGTTGTTGCCTTGTTGCTAGCTAACGTAATTGAGTTTGATTGCATTCGAGTATTTTTTTGATTATTTATGCAAAAAAAAAGTTTCTTATGTGATTTACGAGTGGAATAACGAACAATGTTGGCGAATATAGTTTATAAATACTATGAGAGTGTGTCGGAAGTATGGAAATACTTTTTGAGAGCGGAAAATGGATTGAGTGCTAAGTGCAAACTTTGTAAGAAGATTCTTAAAACCAAAGATCGATCTCCGCGTGGCTTACATGTGCATTTAATATCGATTCATAAAATTGACACGAAAACGAAGAATGTCATATCACCCCCGCCGTTGACGTTGCCGCCACCATCATCAAATACTGGGGCTACTAATCAAAACATGGAATTAGTAACAGCATCCGCATCTACGTCGAATGTTAGTCCAGAATCACCAGGATCGTCGGCACCAGTGCCACCAGCAAGAAAGAAGAGGCAAAAAATTACTGATCATTTCCTCCCGGTTGAAGATACTTCTATGGAGAAAAAAATATCAAGAATGGTAGCCAAAGATGGACTACCTTTCCGTGTTTTCTGTACTTCCACAGATATGAGAAATCTCTTCAATTCTTCTGGACACAAACTGCCTATGTCCCCAAACACAATTAAACTTATAGTTATGAATTATGGCATGACATTGAAAATGAAAATAATGCGTGAATTGGCTCAACTGAAGGAGAATGATCACAGATTTACGCTAACATGTGATGAGTGGACTTCTTCTATGAACAAGCGATACATGAATGTAAACGTACACACATTTTTGAACGGCAATACTATGTTTTGGAACTTGGGGCTGATTCGCGTCTTTGGAAGTATGCCTGCTGAAAGTGGTGTCAGTATTTTGAAAACAAAGTTAATCGAATTTGGCCTTATTCTGGAAACAGATATTATAAATATTACTACAGATGGGGCAAGTGTGATGAAAAAGTTGGGTCGATTGATATCACTTTCACATCAGCTCTGCTATGCCCATGGTGTTCAACTTGGCATAATAGATACTATTTATAAAAAACAAACTGATGTTGAGGAACCTGTGATAGAATCTGAAAATGAGGAAAACGACGATGAGATTCCTTTAGAAATGGACGAAATTTCTAGCACAGGCTCAGGCTTAGAAGATGATGTTTTTCATTGCTCTATGCCCAGAACAGAAGTATACCTAGATGCAGAATATGCGGGTATTATTGAGAAAGTTAGGAAATTGGTGAAACTTTTTAAAAGATCACCTACTAAAAATGATACTCTGCAAATATACGTAAAGCAAGAATTTGGAAAAGATATTAAGTTACAACTTGATTGTAAAACTCGATGGTCGAGCCTAGCAGACATGATTTCTACATTTATTAGAATCAAGCTATGTGTCAGCAAAGCTTTGATCGACCTTAGCCTGGAAGCTGATCCGAACTACTGTTTGAATGCGGAAGAACATGCGGTTTTAGCGAACTTAGACAAGGCATTTCAACCTGTAAAACTGGCTGTGGAGGTGTTATGTCGTCAAGATACAGACTTGGCTATCGCAGAAACAACACTTAGGTTTATGATTCGCAAACTGGAAGAGCTAAAAACTCCATTGGCAGAAAAACTAGCTGGCTCCTTGAGAAAGCGCATTGTTGAGCGTCGGACGAATTTGACAGCATGCTTGTTGTATATTAGAGATCCAGCTAAATACCAAGCAGATAAAGAAGAGTTTGCGAAAGACGAAACATTTAAATTGCGTCCGAAAAATGTGATTCGAACTGAAATTAAATCACTTATAGAGCGTTTGCATCCGCAATACAATCTGACTAATTCACAGACAGAGACAAATTCAGATCCATCTTGGTCGATCGCATCAACATCAGCTGCCACCGCTAATGATATAGCTGAATTTGAGGATGACGATAATGAACAGCTTTCATCTCTTTCTGAGATACGCAAGAGTATTTCATTGCAAGAAGAACTTCAGGAAACATTGACTGCTGCGTTCAAAGAACCTAGAGACAGAAAACTAACTACGAATTCTCTGGAGGCATTAATCAAAAAGGAAATGAATTTATACGAGTCCGGGGGGTCAAAAGGCGAACTTTTACGGTTTGTTGATAACTGCCTGAGATCTGTGGTTCCAACTAGCGTTGAATCCGAAAGGGCCTTCTCAGCGGCTGGTTATCTGGCCAACAAAATAAGAAGCCGTTTAGCAGACGATTCTTTGGACATTTTGTGCTTCTTAAGGAGCTACTTTCAAAATAATTCGTAATAATGGCTCGTGATTTGAACTGAACAAATTTTTCATTTGATTGGTATATTTTGTTAATTAATCTGTAATTTCTAATAGTCTGACTAATTGATATATTTTGTTAATTAATCTGTAATATCTAATGGATCTACTGAGTAGATATAGTTTTATTTAATTGATAATAATATCTCAGTTTAGTAGTCAACTCAACTTAGATAATAAGTTTCATTTTTTTTTACTTCTCGTTGCTTTGTTTGTTATAAAAGAACTGTTTTATTACTAAAAGATTTTTGTTTGATATTAGAAGAGAAGACTGGTTGTTTCTTTTATTTGTTATTTGATAGA